GAGTAAAATCTGGGTAGGATGTAATAAGATTTAACTGAATGTTGCAATCACTTCAAAACACGAATTATCTGCAACTAAACTTTGGATTCGACATACATGATATGAAAACATCGTAATCAAGTTGTTTTTGGGAGTAAATCTTCACCTACAGACTTTTTCTTTGCAAGTATACAGATTAGATCTTACGACTAAAGGTGGTTTATTGCAGGGTCATTGTCTCACTGTATCGTTTTTTTTACATCCCCTTGTTTGTGGTAAGTTCTTTCGGTAAGTATCCTAATTTTGGTCTTGGGTGATCTTGACTACTGTTGTTTCTTTTAAGTATATAATATTTATGCACGACAAATAGAACAAATAAACTCAAACACCCTTCTCACCTTTGGTGAGGTTTAAACTCATGACCTCCTAGGAGGCCAAAAACTCACATACCGCTAGACCAATGGCCTTTTGGTTTAACTACTGTTGTTGTTTGCTCTTTCTGATTAAATTAGTCTGGTTTAAACTTATTTCGTGTCAGCTTGTTTCGGGTTAGTTTTGCATGTTGCAGCAACTTTTTTGTTGTTGTTTTTATTAACCTGGATATCCAACCCGCTATGCGAGCCGCCGACTAATCCCAGGACGACCACCTGCTTTGCAGATATTCCAGAGTCACCGCATTTGAACCTCCATGGCCACAAGATGATTTTTATTTCTCCCTGGATTTGAACCTGTGACCTCCATGTACTTTTGACATTTGGAATCAAACTCAAACAAATCAGGCACCACCCTTGTGGTTAGCTTTTTGGTTGTTTTGTTCAATTATTTGGGTTCTAATAAATAGTTTTCCTTTAAAAAAATTTATTATTTCTTATTTATTGTCTATTTTTTTTTCTAAAATACACTATTTTCATAAAAATWAAAAGTAAATATGAATACTTGAAATTTCTCAAAAATTGTATTAAAAATTAAATCAAAAACCAATATTAAATAAGGCCCAATACTGTGTTTGACTAGGTCAATAGAGAAAGATGAGTTGGGCTTTAACCCAATATGTATTTGGACTCTCTCAACTACATGGGCCCAATATTTTTTGTCAATGGACTACAAATAGATTACATCAAACACTGATATATTATATCTGGAGTCATTTAAAGGAGAACTCAGTATTTTGTGAAATCTGTGATATCCAATATTAATCACARAGCAAAGTTTAAATTAGAAAATTAATAATTTTATCTTGACTTAAGACTAATGGCATTTTAGGTATTTTAAAAATCTTATCACTTCTTTTTTCTCTCTCTCTCCTCTTCCCTTCGGCGTGAATATTCCACTAAGATATACATGTTGTGATACATTATCTCTATATACTCATTGATATCTGTTGATGTCCGTTGTGATACCTACTGTGCACACGTTATGATACCCTAATGTGTGATATATATTCTACCTTATAAACTAGATTTATCAAAAGTTTTAAAAACAATTTTTAATGAACAAAGTGCTATACATTTATGCACAAAGTCTTAAAAACAACTCATAATGTATTAAGTACTACTACTTTATGCATTCAGTCTTAAAATATCTTAATCTACAATTATAATAACATGTAGTTCAGATTACCAATGCACATTATTATCTTTTCTTTTAATGTTCTCAATATACTTTTGACATATTCCACTCATGTCTTCACTCTCTCATACCTCTATGTCTTCTCCTCATCCCCCAAGGWGAGATTCAAACTGATATTCACCATGAGTTATTAAAAGTTCTCATATTCATCTCTCATTCAATTGCTCTAGAACTCTCGGTCTGGCTCTCGATCTCTTGATTAGGGGTGTAAATGATTCGAGTCGAGCTCGAGTATCACTATACTCGACTCGAACTCGAAACCGAATTTCCAAGCTCGAACTCGACTCGAAAACTCACGAGTAGTAAAAATCAGAGCTCGACTCGAACTCGATAACTATTTCTCAAGCTCGAACTCGAACTCGAACTCGAGCTCGAACTAAGCTCGAATCAAGCTCAAACTACAACTCGAATCAAGCTCGAACTCGAACTCGAATCAAGCTCGAACCAAACTCACTCATTGAAATTTATAAAACTTAGGGTCTTTCTCTTATAAATTTTAAAACTTAAAAGTGTTCTCTTAGTTTTTATAAAAATAAAKAGATCAACTTCAAACTTCATCATSAAAAAGACAAAGTTAGAAAATTGCATTCATCTTCCTCTCTTTTTATAACATMTTTTCTTTCTTCCTTTACCATCTATCTTCCAATGTGGGACAACTTCACTAACTTTTTTTATAGTTTTTCTTTGTCTTTTTTTAATTGTTTAAATATCTAAAAATAATAAGGCATTTATATTATTTATATTTTACATATTTTATCATAAAACCTGATTATATACTTTAAAACTAATTATATATAAAATAATCGAGTATCTCACGAGCTTTTCGAGTCGAGTATTGGGTAGCTTGACTCGACTCGTTAATATGTCGAGTCGAGCTCGAGTTCGAGTCGAGCCTATTCGAGTCGAGTGTTGACCGAGCTTTGACCGAGTCGATCTCGAGTAGCTCGCGAGTTGTCTCGTATCGTTTACACCCCTACTCTTGATTCTTTGCTCTTGGTGTAAATTGAACACATCTATAGAGTCGTTTAAACATGTTGGATTTTAAATATATCGGATTTTAAACTGTCATACAATTTTTTTCATCGATAGACTGTAATTGGAACCATAACTCTTATTTATTCAAATTGTATTAATATGTAAAGACCAGATGTAACTTATATCATCGTTAAATGTTTTCTAATAAAACCAGTAAAACTTCAAAATCGGTAAAATTCACGGCTCTCGTCGCATTGCACGGATACACAATTAGTACTTAAACAATGAAACAGACATAATGTGATACAAAGAAGACAACAAAGCAGCGAAAATACATTTTGTGTTACTGCCATCAAAGATTCATATACAATACATTATGGAGAGTTATAAATTTTCTATTTATGAGAATCATGGGTTCATATTTATGAAGAGGATATATTAATAAACGCATTTATGAGCCGTTTTTATTACCAAATTACATTTTCTATTTAATTAATAAATAATATAATTATTTTAAATGAATGACTCACATTATATCTTACGATTGTCACAAATTACTGAGTTCTTATATGATTACACCCCTATTATATCTATTAACTTTTACCTGATAACAAATCATTTAATTACAGTCTGTGTACCTGGTTGTTTTCATAACGACCCTCAACTTGTGAAACGAGTGGACAAGAGAGAGAAAGGCAAGAAAGGAAAATCATTAACGAAGTAGACAAGAGTAACGAGTAACAAGCAGATAGAGACATATATAATATAAACATAACCAGATTAAGGTACCAAAACATATACACTGTATCATATCCAGTTACAATTTTTCTGTTCAACAAGATTCCGTTTTGAGACCTAATACTGGATAATTCTTTTTCTTGTTTGAGGTCTTCACGGAAACAACATAAATATTCTTCGGGATGGAGAAAAAGTTAGTGTACGTCTTATGCTTATTGGACTCAATTTTAAGTGAGATCTACTGAGTTTTGGCTTGATTTATATGACTACGGTGGCGTTTGTTTTTTAAGAGGTTCTGAAGTCTGATTTCACTTCTGRATTTTAAGAGGTGGTACTGAAGTCTGAAATCTGAATCAGTCAGACTATTTGTTTTTACGTCTGAAATCTGAAATCTGAAATCTGAATCAGTCAAGTTTTGGATCTGATAGATTTGGATCGATCGAGGTCATGATTTTACGAGAATATGTGGATCGATCTGGGTCGTGATTGATTTGGAAATCGAATGTCTTGCGAGATAAATTTGGAGGACTAAATCTGGAGGTGAGGATGGAGGGGAGAGTCTGGAGGGAGCGATTAAGAGGATTTAAGTGATTATGTTATCACCTTTTTTTCAGAGCAAATTAAGAGCTTTTCAGCTCTTATTTATATAAAAAAACAAATGGTCTGAAAATAAAAACGTCTGACCGGTTCAGACTTAAGAGGCATTAAGTGGTTTTGTTTCAAAAAACAAACAAGCCCTACGTCTTCCGAGATGTATTATCTGGGTAGTCAGGGACGGATCCATACACTTTTTCAAATATGAAAAAAAAAATTCTAATTGTGACGCCAGTTAACTAAGAAAATGACACCAACAAGATTCAAACTCGGGTCTGGGTTGAAAGAAAAGTCTTACAAACTAATTATACTAAATAAAACTTGTTCTGGTTGTAGTTTCAAAATACATACAGTAGCACACAACAAATGAATACGGTTGTATCTTTCACGAAACTAAACTTTTTTACTATTCGATAGAGGAATAATACGGTGGTACGTGTCACTGATGGCTCCTCTGTAGTTTTGTCCCTTGGATAGTGGCTAAAGATATTGACAAAAGCGTTATTTTTGATGGTTGACTATAAACATTTAAGTATGTGACTGAGGGGTCGTTTACCTAAACACTTACCTGGTAAGTGTTTAACGGTAAAATTCAACTCTAACGCTTACTTACCGGGTAAGATTTTAGTCTACCAACACAACATCGTATGTAACAATTTATCCGCTAAGCGCTAATCGTGGTAAAAGTCGTCGTCATCACTTACCGAGTAAGACTCTCGGTCCTTGTCTTCGCTCTTACCAGGTAAAATTCTTGGTCATTCTCATATTCATCCGGTAAGGGATTATGATTTGATAAGCGTTTATCTGAGTAAGCATTTGGTAAACGGCCACTAATGCATTATTTTATTCAAGCATGGGTTTAAAAATTATGAAAATACAAAGATATTTTACTTTGTTTTTACCTATTAAGATATTAAAAATAGTCCAAGTACTAATAATGTCAATAATTGAAGTAGAGGGGGCTAAAGTGAAACTTACTTATTCCAGCAACAAAAACCTCCTTTTCAGTATGATTTGATCTCGTTTTCAAGAACATTCATAAGTTTCAGAATCTTTGCTCTGTCCTTTCATCTCTTCTCCTTTGTCCTCTGCCCTTTTTGATCCACAAAACCTCAAAGATCTCCTCTTTTTCCCATAAACAAACGAACCCTTCTTTCTCTCTCTAAGAGACCCAAATCACCACGAATCAGGTACTGTTACGATCCCCATCTCAAAATAAATCTAATCTTTGTTTTGATCTACGAAGTTTACTCTTTGATCACTTGACTTGATTCATTAATTTCAGTTTTTGTTTCCTTAATTTCAAGATTGATTGTTCGTTTTAGCCATTGTCGTATTGATCAACTGGAGTATAGCTTCTGGTTGTTTTGATTTTTGTTACTTCTGCTTTTTCTTGTGGGATGAATGGCTGTTTGTCGTTTTGGTTGAAGTGTGTGAGACGTTGATGTGGTTTCAATCTGCGTTTACTTGTTCTTTGGAAATTGTGGATATTGTTTGATTCTATATATGGTTTTTTTTTTGTTAATTAGGGTTTGAACCGTATCTGGGTCGTCTTTTTCTTTCTTTTCACAAACGTAGCTTCTGTTTTATGGGGATGCTTAATTAGGGTTGGATGGGGTACAATGGTAGACGTAGTTTTTTTTTTTCCTTACTGCAGAGGAGTTTATGTAAACCTAAGTGCAATTTGCTAGCACAAAAAAATATGTGGGACAATACACTTGAATACACGTTTGTTTTTATAGGGTTAGCCAAAGACAATTATCTGGCAGGTGCACTCCAATTCTATACATTAGTACACATTCTCAAAAAGTTTTCTGAAGTCAATAAGATGGATTATAAATGGCTTATTATGTATTGGCAAATTTTGTAGCTTCTGTGGTGTTTGACTCAATTGTGTGTATCTTTCTAATACTCTCTTTGGGTCTGTTTTTATTGCTCCATTCAGAAATGGCATGGAGATCATGGTAGGTAATAGCTTTACTGAAATAACTTTTACTTGAATAGATTTAAACAATTGCGAGATTTTGGAATTTGGCAATAATCAACAATAGTATTTGCAATGTGGGATTGTAATTTTCTTCGGAGTGAAGGGTTTGATGCTAAGCAGTATATAAACTACAACTTTGGCTGTATCAGTATATAGGATGAAGATGAGGTTAGCAGCATGATTGGACAAGAGGTAGTTAGAAGTATAGCTTTTGGTATTTGAGTTTGTCAGTTTGATATCATAGATGGATTAGGAGATCAATAAGTACGCGAGTAATAGGATTAGAGTAAAGTTGATGAAGTGGCGTTCAAAAATCCTTTATGCTATGAGATTATAAAATTCCCAACAAAGTTTTAGTGTAAGTTTTACATAACAATGGATACTACTGTGTAGTCTTGGAGCGCATCCGCTGGGTAGTTGATTTTAAACAACCAAAACTAAATCAATTGTCTTAACTTTTTAGTTGAAGAATAGAGGAATAGGGGATGCATAATAGCTAACCCTAAAAAACAAATGTGTATTCAAGTGCAGTGTCACTCCCCCCACAGACCTTTTTGTGCTCGCAAATTGCACTTAGGCTTACATAACTTCTCTGCTGTTGGAAAATAAAAAAAGAACTATGTCTGTAATTATACCCCATCCAACCCTAATTCAGCAGCACTATAAAACAGGAGCTACGTTTGAGAAAAATAAAAGAAAACCGATCCAAATATGGATTAAACCCCTAATTAACAAAACGAACAAAAAAGAAGCCCACATATAAAATCAAACAATATCTAGAATTTCCAAAGAACAAGTAAAAACAGATTGAACCTACATCAACATCTCACACTCTTGAACCAAAACAACAAGCAGTCAATCATCCCACAAGCAAACGCAGAAGTAACAAAAATTAAAACAACTAGACATACACTCCAGTTGAACCATCAGTCAATACGACAATGGCTAAGAAGTGTCAAACGAGGATGGTTAGACCTTCTATCATTTATTAATATGTGTAGACACACACTGATTGATAATATTATAAACGAGGATGTCTAGGAGAGGTTGGGGTGACTACTAGAATTTGTTTGACCATCTTCATTGTAGACCAATTATGCTAAAGTTAGAGTGGTGTCAAGAAGATAGCATTAAGAGAGGTAATTGTAGGCAAAGATCAACTTGGATATTGGTAATCAATAAAAATTTGAAGGATACGAATAAATTTTTGGAACTGGCTCTAGATTTTTGTATGTATTCATATTACTCATGCTATCAGTTCATCTCTTATTTGAAGTCCCCTGTTATGATTGTTTATATACTTTTTTAGGGGTTGTTTGATTGGTTTTCATTATATTATGTATAAAGCTGTCTGTGTGGATTAATTTTGTCTGTATAAATTGGGGAAGTTTTTGTTTGGGAGAGTTCTTGCATAGATGGAAATAGAGTGTTCTTTAATTGGGAGAAACGGGTTTGAAATTTTTTTGGCTTTCTGCATAAAGCTCACTTCTAGATGCTTACTGAACAAGTCACTTTCTATTTCACCAAGTCACTACCAAACAGTCATGTATAGCTGACCGAATAAACTGTGAATCTCATTAAGCTGCTAACAAACATGTTCTTAGTTGTGTTATAAATGTTACCACTATTACTATTGATATATTACTGCCAAATATGTTTTATAGATGGCAACGCAGGCAGCAAGCCCTGCTGCAATTCTTCCAAGTGCTCAAGTTGTTGGCAATGCATTCGTGGAGCAGTACTACCATATTCTTCATCAATCTCCTGAATTGGTTCATAAGTTTTATCAGGATTCAAGCATCTTAAGCAGGCCAGATACGAATGGCTTGATGAGTTCAGTAACAACCATGCAAGTGAGTTCTTTTGTTATTATCTATTCATTATTTTGTTGAAATATTCAACTGTTAAGCTATGTCATAGTTTTAAAAATCGTTTGAGGCGTAGGCCTCGAGGCAAGGCAGCCCAAAACCACATCTGTCGCCTCTAGGATTCTGGAGGAGGCTTATGCCTTGGTCCAATGAGGCGGTTTGTTGAGGCGTGAGGCGGTGTTGAGGAGTACGCCTCAGAAGAGCTACCTTGGTAATAGTTTTTTTTTGGCTTTTTTATAAGTTTTATGGCAGTAGTAGTACTTCTCTATGTATCGTGTCTCTTTTTATTTAAAAAAACTGAAAGTCAAAGCCCAATGCCATACTTTTAATATTTTAAAACCCAAAAAGCTAGTATTTTCTCCTCTCAATCAAAAAGTGTGGCTTGACCCTTCCTCATTCTCCAAGCAACCAAATTTTCCACGCTCTGTAAACTTATCTTACGGTTTCACTCTTTCCTTTGTGAAGAACCACTGAACTGGCGCCTCTTAGTAATCAAGTATTTTATATATATTGTATATAAATGTATATATGTTTGTGTAGTATATATTCATATTTTGGTGTGTAATGACCCTAACTCATTTCAGATGAACGAATTCTTGTTGTTATGGTCTTATTTAATCCTAGCTGATGACTTGTATTTCAATATGAATGATATTTTATTCCTAGCTAGGCTTATTAGGGTAACCTTGTGAGTTCAAATTCAAAATTTGTGCTAATTACCGGGCGGTGTCAATGTGGGGTTGGGGGGGAAGCTCATTCCTTGAGTGTGATTTCCCATGTGTTAGTATATATTTGGGGTGCTAATGATATTAATCATTCAAAGAGGGACATGTAAATTATATTTATCATGCACAAGTATAACATCTCAGGCTAACCGTAGCGGATTTTGTCTGCTATGTCCACATATGGACTCATGGTTTTAAAGAACGTATGATAGAGGACGTATCCAGTCCCTTATAAGGCAACCTTAGTTCCCCTGCCCAATCGATGTGGGATCTTACAACAAGAGACATAAGAATCTACGTCATTCAGTTCTATGAACTTTTTTAACATACAAGGGAAAGATCACACTGAAACCCTTTACTTTGCATCCAAATCATTGTAATAACACCTCATATAGACTATTCATTTTCATTTTTTATAGATTGTTTGATGACCAAGATGTACATGCATGTAGAATGAAAACTTGAAAGTATATTAGTTAACATTATACTTTCCTATCCGTGTGCATGCCTTCTCATCTTGGCATGCCATATCATGTTGCATTATTTCTCCATGTTGCTGCAAATAATGTACATCTTTTACTAGCTTTAGGGCTTATTAGTTATGGCCATTCAACAATTGTGTTTTGATGATCCAATTGAAATCATGTGAGAAATTATGAAGATGAGACTCTGGTTCCATTTAGGAAAACTTGGGATGGGCCTCCAAAATGAAGATTGGATGGAAATGGTATCAACCAAATTGAACCCTAACTATTGTTATTTAACTTTCCCACCTTTCAAGAAAATCGAGTTTCGAGGTCAACTATCTTGGACCTTTAAAATAAAAATGAATTCTTATGAATATCCAAGGATGTGCTGCTAAATGCTAATCACATTTAGCTCTGCTCTACAACAAAATTAAGTTTATAGGATGCCAACAATGTTTAAGTGCCCTAATAGATTGTTTTATTAAATTTAAGTTTATAGGACCAAATGATAAAGTGTCCTATCTAAAAGTTATGTAATAAGTTTATTGGACGCTTTTGGGCGTCTTAACAAGTTTATTAGGACGTTTCTAAAATAAAGTGTCGAATTAACTATTTTATGGCATAGTGAGAAATGTCCTATAAAAACATTTTTATAGGGCACTTGTTTTTTTTAGACACTTTCAAATAGTCTTATAAAATAGCTAATACAACACTATATTCTAAAAATGTTCTAAAAAACTTGTTAAGATGCCCAAAGGCGTTCTATAAACTTAATACCATGGTTGCTAAAACGGTTGAGGCGGTCAAAAAGCGTTCTTAAGGCGATGCCTCAGCTAGGTTGGTTGGGTTGTACGCCTCGAACTACTGAGACGGGTTGAGGCGGTACTAAGACTTTAGGGTTAAAAATATGCCAAATAAAATAAAATATATTGACCAATTAAAGTGAAACCTCTGCTCCTTGCTTTGTCCTTGTGCATGGCTATTGAAGTAGAACACTTACTGCTATGTATGATTTTTTCGTTTTTATACAGTAAGGCTACATGCTAGGTATGCTACTTGAGAGGTGCATAAGGACTCTTCGTTTTACATAGTTGGAGTGACTTTTCTTCTTCTCTTGACATGTGTCAATTTTATTGTTTCTCTTCATGTGTGAAGCTTTTAGTGTTTCTCTTGTGGAAGGCTTTTAATGTTCCTCTTTACGTGGGAGGCTATTAATGTTTCTCTAATTTGTTTTTATTAATCTTTAACAATTAATTGTCTAAATTAAAGTAGTTAAAGAGTTTATTAACAACATTATGATTCTAAATATTATTATCAGCTAAGTACTACATATATAATATTATTTTATTTATTTTTATTGTTTGGTCCTATAGAAATCAAGCCCTCTAAAGCAGCCTATTAGGACACATACATTTTTGATGTCTTATAAACATAATTTGGTTAGAGTGGTCTTTGCCAAATACTAGAGAAATGTTCGCTTATATTTGCAGTGTAATCTTTATTAAAATGGGACTTTATTTAGGGCTGCACATGGGTTGGGTTGGCCGGGTTGTTGAAGCCATTGAACAACCCAATATTTGTGGTTCGAAAAATGTCAACCCAACCTAAGCAAAACTACAACCTAACCCGACCCAAACTGTGCGGGTTGGGTTGGTTGGTCGGGTTGATTGGGTTGAAATTTTGGTATATCATTTTACAATCTAGCTAAGCGTTTGTGTTTAAACGAATTAAAATCAAAATGAGAAGATACAAAAAAGGCTAACAAACTCAAAAAATTTGAAGGTTCATGCATAAGAAAGTAAAATCACGGTTGAAATTGTAATATACTTTTGAATACAACTAATTCCGGGTTGGTCTAATGTCTACTCTTTATATATATAAAAGTAAGATCCACAAGAAATGATGTGGCACACTAAGAATTGAGTTCTCTATATTTCTTGCATTGAGGTTGATTTTTGTGTATCCCACATTGATGGAGAAATGAAAGATTGACAATGGAGGGTAGGTATATGAGAGGAGGTTGAAGTGTCTTTGTTTTAACTCATGGAGTTGGCTTCTCTTGGCTAATCCTTGTTGGTGCCCATGTTGTCTAACCCTCTAAACTTATAGTGTTTGTTTATTTTGGCCAACCCTCTATTTGCAAAAATGTTATCTATATAAAAAATCAATATATCTTTATATATAAAAGTAAGATCCAAAAGAAATGATGTGGCTCCCTGAGAATTGAGTATTATATATTTCTTGCATTGAGGTTGAGTTTTGTATATCACACATTGATAGATAGATAAAAGATTGACAGTTGATGGTAGGTATATGCAATGAGGTTGGGGTGTGTTTCTTTTAGGTCATGGGGTTGGATTCTCTTGGCTAATCCTATAAACTAATATTGTTAGCTCATGTTGGCTAACCCTCCAAACTCATGGGGTTGGTTCATTTTGGCCAACCCTTTATTTGCAAAAAAGTTATCTTTATAAAAAATCTTTATATATATAAGAGTAATATTGACAAGAAATGAGGTGACACCCTAAGAGTTGAGTACTATATATTTCTTGCATTGAGGTTGAGTTTGTGTATCCCACATTGATGGAGAGATGAAAGATTGACAATTGATGATTAGTAGTTTTTTCATGTTGGGTTGGTCGGTATTTTGAGCACCTGTAACTCTATTATCATCATAGAGAACAGTACCTTGTTTATTAGAAGAAATTCAATGTTAGAATCAAAGTTTGAAAGCCTTTTTCTGTCTAAATCACTTAAACCAGGCAATTGATGAGAAGATTCAGTCTCTTGATTACAAGAATTATAAGGCGGAGATTAAAACCGCAGATGCACAAGATTCGTACCAGGCAGGGGTTATTGTTCTAGTGACCGGATGCTTAACTGGGAAAGACAACATCAAAAGGAAATTTGCACAAACATTCTTTCTAGCTCCACAAGAAAAGGGCTATTTTGTTCAAAATGATGTCTTTAGGTACGTTGAGGAAAGTATGCCGATAGAGACGACTTCTGCATCTGTGGAGGATATTGTAGACAGTTCTCTAGTGGAACATGCGGTACCAAATGCAGGTTTGTTGCGAGTATTTTAGTGCCATAATACTAATACGGTAATGCGCCCTCAGATCCATAAAAGTTCACTACAACAAAATTGATTTTATAGGATGCCTAAAATGTAGAAGCGTCCTAAAAAAATACTTTCTAGGACTTAAATTTATTGACCGAACCAAAAAGCATCATATCTAAAAGTTCTACAATAGGTTTATAGGGACTCTTTTAGGCGTTTTAACAAGTTTTTTAGGACGCTTCTAAAATAAAGTGTCGTATTAACTATTTTATTTGACACTATTTGAAAAAATGTCCTATAAAAAAATTGGTTTATAGGACACTTCTAAAAAGTGTCCGATTAAAAGATGGGTTTATGGGACACTTCTCAAAAGTGTCCAATAAAATAGTTAATAGGACACTTTATTTTAAAAGCATCCTAAAAACTTGTTAAAACGCCTAGAAGCGTCCTATAAACCTTTTGTAACGGTTTTAGATGGGACGTTTTATAGTTTGGTCCTATAAACCTAAGTTCTATAAAGTATTTTATTAGAACGCTTAGACAATCTAGAGCCAATTTTGTTCTTGTGATTGTAATGTGTGGACACATAGCTTAAGAGAAATATTTTTACTGTTTATCTGAAATAACTTACTCCCTCCCTCCCAAAATAAATGCTCACAACTCAGTTTTAGAAATGTATAATTGTTACGTCTTTAATAAATTAAATGACGTTTTTGCCCTTAATAACAAGAGGAATGAGTCAAGGGTAGAATCGGAAAGCACACACTTGGTTTTGAAAGTGGGCATTTATTGTGGGATAAACTTGAATAGAAACGTGGACAATTATTTTGGGACGGAAGGAGTATGATGTATACAAAAGAAAGGAACCTTGTGGACTCAAATTGACGGTCTCGGTTTGTTGTAAATTGGAATGTTACAATTTTCATTTGACATCCCAGAATGGAAATGATAATCATCATCTTTACGGGATAAAAATAGCATTTGAGGCATGCTTACATAGTTTATTATGTTTTCAGAGGCGACTCATGTTTCAGATAATCCGACATATGATTCTACAACGAACTTGGCTGCTGATGATATCAATAACGGGCCAGAAGTTTGTGACCCTGAGGATATCGAAGGGTCAGGGTCAGAGTCGGGTCTTGAGGAAGAAGTTGTGGACGAACCTGTTCCTGTTCAGACAATCCCGAACGAAACAAGTCCCTTTCAGAAACCAGATCTGACTGCAGGCCAAGAGGAGAAGAAATCATATGCTTCAATTGTGGGTTCATGCCATTTACATTTTGTCATTTTCTATTGTTTAACATCCTAGCCAACCGTACCAGATATTGTCTGCTTTGTCCACACCTAGACTCATGGTTTTATGTGTCTAGTAGAGGAGGTACCCAGTCCCTTATAAGGCAACCTTGGTTCCCCTCCTTAACCAATGTGGGATCATACAGTTCATTTATAACATCCCGGACCAACCGTACCAGATATCATCCATACCTGGATTCACGGTTTTAAAACGCTGTCTAGTAGAGGAGGTATCCAGTCCCTTGAAAGGCAACCTTAGTTCCCCTCCTCAACCAATGTGAGATCTTACAGTTCATTGTAACATCTTGGACCAACCATACCAGATATTATCCACATTTGGATTCATGGTTTTAGAACGCGTCTGGTAGAGGAGGCATCCGGTCCTTATAAGGCAACCTTTGTTCCCCTCCCCAACCGATGTGGAATCTTACATGTTGCACTTTTCTGTTTATACTTCTTCCAACGGTTTATTGAATTAATGGATTTTACAGGTAAGGGTAACCAAGGTTACTGGAACATCTGGTTCCAGCCATGTTCAGACAAGCAGTTTGAGGTGGGCACCTGCTAACACCGATCAACACAAACCTAGGCCAGCGAAGCCTTCTCCAGAACCAGAAACATCAGTCCCTGTGGTCGTTAATGGTCCTGAAAGCAGCAACGTTTATGATGATGGTAACAAACTTAGGGGCTGTTTGATTGGTTTTCAATTAAGTCCTATATGGGTTAAGTTGTTTGTGTGGATTAAACCGTCTATATAGATTGAGAAAGTTTTTGTTTGAGAGTGTTTTCTCATAATGGAAGTAACATGTTTTTTAATTGGAGGAGCAGGTTTTGAGAAAAACTTGGCTTTCCGCATAAAGCTCCCCCTTAAAAGCTTACTGAATAAGGGGACGTATGGTTGGTTATCCATGAAGTCCTGTATGGATAAAGCAGTCTGAGTGGATTAATCTATCTATATAGATCGGGAAGGTTTTTTTTATAGAAATAGCTTGTTTTTTTAATTGGGAGGGGTAGATTTGGAAACAATTGGCTTTCTGCATAAAACTCCCCCTAGAAGCTTACTAAATAAGCCACTTTCTATATCATTAAATCACTACTCTCTACCAAACGGTCATGTATAGGTGACCGAATAAGCTTTGAGTCCCATTAACTCATTAAGCTGCTAAGAAACAGGCCCCAAGTCACTTTCTATATCATTAAGCTACTACCAAACAATCATGTATAGCTAACCGACTAAGTTGTGAGTCCCATTAAGCTCATTAAGCTACTAACAAACAAACCCTTATTTCTCTTTTCATTTACTTTATGTTGATCAAACTATTGAGGACCTTTGAGTTGGTTGGGATAGCTGAAATCGAAAATGGTCAAGTTTATTCTCTCATAAATTGCTTCTGACTATAGTGTTTATCTGAAATATATCGAACTGTTATTAACCTTGTAAGATTTCGAATGTACTTGCTAACGTCAATCCTCTGGGCTTCAGTTGAAGGTCATTCCATCTATGTACGGAATTTGCCTATGAATGCGACAGTCCCACAACTTGAGGAGGAATTTAAAAGGTTTGGGCCTATCAAAAGCAACGGCATCCAAGTCAGAAGTAATAAGGTTTGTTTTCTGATAGTGTCGTGTTTTTGATTGTTTTGAAATTTATATGTTCTTGATATATCTTTAAAACTTATCTCTTATTTCCAGCAACAGGTATTTTGTTTCGGTTTTGTGGAATTTGAGTCATTGGATTCCATGCAGAGTGCTATAAAGGTATGACTTTTAATTAGTTTTAGCTCTTATTTCTTTTTCGCTTACACTTTTGCACAAGCCAGGGTTCTTCACGGAACAACCGCTTTATCCCTTAAGGTAGAGGTCAGGTATGCATACATCTCATCCTCCCCATACGCTATAGGGGTCATTTACCAACACGAATTGGGTAAGTGCTGTCTGACCGAGTAAGAGTGTGGTCTGGGTAACCGGGTAAGTTCTCATCCGGTCATTTATGTTACTGAGTGAGCATGGCAAGGACCAAGAATCTTGCCTAAGTGAGGGTGGCGACTCTTACCCGGTTAGTGCTTAGCGGGTAAGAGATTCTTACCAACAATCTTATGATGCCATTTTGATGGTCGAGAATCTTACGCGGTAAAGTAACTGAGGGTGGTGACTCTTACCCGGTAAGCTCTAACCGAGTAAGGGTAAGCACCGATTGGAACACTGACCCAGTCAAAAAGCAACCACTTCCTTACTGGGTCAGCATATTTGTGGGTTAGAGTGTGTTGGTAAAGTAAACAACATCCCTTCTTACCAGGTAAGCACCTCTTACACAGTAAGAAGGCGGTCAGTAGGTAGAAAACAACCGTAAACCTGTGAATGCACCGGTTAGACGTTAAGACATGTATAAAGAAGAGATGGTCAGGGGAGGGAGGGGTAGAGGTCAGACAAAATTGACATGGTAGAAGTATTGAATAGAGATTTGTGTGAATAGATATTATTTGTTAATAATTTTTCAAAAAATATGTGTTACAGACACAATCTCCTCACATTTGGTAAGACTTGAACCGCAACTTCTAAGGAGGTTAGGCTTTACCGGTAACCCAGATATTGTTGGGCCATTGACCCTTCGTAACGTGCTATTATTGGACTATCTGTGCTCAATATATGAAATCTCTTTCAGGCACCTTCTATTATGATTGGCAATCGTCAGGTGGTGGTCGAAGAAAAGCGAACTACTACACGAGGTAACGTTATACTGTTTTTCCAAAATACTCGATCCATATCTATCTAGAGGTGGGTGCAAGAGAGAACGCTAAAAAAAGAACAAGGGAACCCATCTGAACCATCCATCTATATTAATCCAACGACTGTGGATAATAGGGGCTGTCACATTAGAATCTGGTCCATCTATTTTTTAGATCCAACTGTGATAGGGTTTCCCTTACTCTTTTTTTTGGGTTCTTTTTCGAACCTTCCAATATCTATCTAATATCAACTGTGGCCCTAATGAGTCCCATATCTTCTTCCCCAGTTGGCAGTGGTGGAAGAGGGCGGTACACTTCTGGAAGGGGTGGCGGTGGCTTCAGGGGCCGTGGTGGTTACTTTGGTGGCCGGAGCTTTGGCCGGAATGAGTTTAGATACCAGGGGGAGTTCCCTGGCCGTTCAAAGGGTCCTGCTGGCCGCAACTCAGAGGTCTATCAACGAGTTGATCAGAACGGTGGTGGCAGATACGCTCATCAACCAAATAAAGACACCGAATCCACACACTAATCGCAACTAGTCGAAGCTTCAAATCAAAATTTTGACCATCAATTCAGACTCCTATCAGTTTCTTTCTTTCTTCCTTTCTTTTTGTAAATGAGTGGCACAAAAATGTGATGTTTTTTTCTTGATCATTGATGCTTGATTTGAATCTTTATAACAACCCTTTTTCTAAGAGTAGACAAATCTTATGCAAGTTCTTCGGGTCTGTTGTTAGCACCTTAACGAGCTTAATGAGATTCACAACTTATTCGGTCAATTATCTATGATTATGATTGTTTAGTAGTGACTTATTCAGTAAGCTTGTAGGGGAGAGTTTTATGTAGAAAGCCAAATTTTTCTCAACATGTTCTCAATTAAAAAACATATTCATTCCACCTATGAAAAAAAACCCTCCTAAATTAAAAGGTTATTGATCTATACAGACAACTTTATCCATGTAGGATTAGGGCCTTTTAGCAACTTCATGAGCTTAGTGGAACTTGCAACTTATTTAGTCCGCTATACATAGTGGCTTATTGATACACAAAGTGGCTTATTCAGTAATCTTACTGGTGGAGTTTTACGCAAAAAGCCAAGTTTTTTTCCCAACATATCCTTTCCAATTAAAATGTAAGCTCATTCCACTTGCCAAAAAAACACTCCCAAATAAACCTTCTCAATCTATACAGATTGATTAATTCATACAGACAGTTTTATTTTGACTTATTGAAAAACCAACCAATTAACAATCTACAAACTTCGAGAATCCATTCTGATACTGTATACAAAACATATGATCATAAAAACACACAAATGTCTGTGACTTCAATTGGATTTTTGCAAATTTGACACAAAATTTGAGGCTGCAAAAGCTGCAGAGCCACCAACAACAGAAAGAAGAGCAACCACCACCTGCAAGCCAATTTCCCAGGGGTAGTCTTCAGGTACCAAAAACACTAAAAAAGGACCTAAAGCCAGTAGGGCCAAGCTTAAGGTCAAGAGAGCCGATGGCGTCGATGGGTCGGTGGCGGCCGAAAGGACTCCCAGCTCTTCCGCCTTGGAAAGCAGACCGAGTTTCTCGATTGACGATAGGGAAAGACCGAACTTCTCGGCTGCCGACAGTAGACCGGCTTTCTCCGCTTTCGTTAGCAGTCGCAGTTTTTCGACATTGGTCAGGAGTTTGATGCTTGATGTGGTTGTTGATCTCTTGCTGCTTCCACCCCTCATTGTTGCAGCCTGTGCTTTATGGCAAATTGAAAACCAACATTAAAATCTCGTTCTTTATACACTTGGAATCACGTGAGACCACGTTGTTTTCATGAGATTCTTAAGACTACATAAATAACATTAAACCTACAGCAAACTCGATTTCCAATGCATCGGCAGGTTGTACGGTACAACTAACAAAGCATAAGCCCACTTCTAAATCAATCTCCCATTGTTCATCTCATCTTTTCAGAAAACAACCCCCCCCCAAAAAAAAGTTACAACCTACAGTTTTATGCAAGAATATCCATCTTTTTACCTGTTATGTTAAAACTGCAGGACAAAGCTCCGTTGTTTTCAAACAACGGAGACGTACTGCAGATACATTAATAAACAATACGGTACAAAAGTATAACGATCAAACACAAACTAACCTTGTTGTAACCAAGAGTCTTTGTAGCAAATGCAAGAGGGTTGTGAGTAGTTGCCATTGATGGAACCAAAAGTGCCATCTTTCACCACCCCCTTTTGATTATTTTTTTGGCTTTTTAAGGGTACCCTTTGGTTTGATTTGAGTGTTGCAGAAACAAACTACAAGACTCTATTGGGATTGGGTGGTTGTTGTTGGGGTTGTCCACGTGTCATTCTGTTAGTGGTTGTTTAAAAAGTTGGATGATCTTTGTCTCATTATCCATGAATAATGGCTTCAAATTTGTAACATGTGTTACCAAACACACCCAAAACTCTCTCCTAACAAAAAAGAAAGAGTAAATTACGTTTTTCATCCCCGTCGTTTGTTAACGGTTGTGAGTTTCGTCCCTTTGGTTTTGAAATTGTGGATTTTGTCTCTATAGTTTACAATTCATTGTTATTTGTTAATATATTATATTATTATAGATTTGTTTCAAATATATTTTGAAATATTATAATTGATTCATTTTGCAAGATGCGCTTCTTGGTCATTTTACACCATTATCAGTTAGTTTTGCTAAACATAATTTGTTCATCATATAGCTTATCAACTACCAGTTAGCTTATAAGCTAACAACTAGTTTGTCAAACATAGCCTTAGTCAAAAATCAAAATAATATAATATTATATATATATATGTGTGTGTGTGTGTGTGTGTTTGGTTCAAACGAGAACATCTTCATCTTTTGAGAACACGATAACACCCTTTTATTATAGACAATCACATATGATACACGTGTGATACTAAATCAGAGATGAGAACGACTTTTGGCATGATGTTGGTTGCGGGTTAAGTCGCTCTTACACCACTAAGCCCTTTCACATGTGATAAAAGGTGTTTTTGGTGTGATACTATAATTCATCAAAACTATTACATGTGACACTATAAAGGCCAACGACCTTTGACGCGATCTAAGTCGCAGGGAACGTTGTCCGCAATTAGGGGGTGTAAATGATACGAGACAACCCGCGAGCTACTCGAGATCGACTCGGTTAAAGCTCGGTCAACACTTGACTCGAATAGGTTCGGCTCGAACTCGAGCTCGACTCAACATATTAACGAGTCAAGTCAAGCTACCCAATACTCGACTCGAAAAGCTCGTGATATACTCGATTATTTTATATATAATTAGTTTTAAAAATATAATCAGTTTTTTATGATAAAATTTATAAAATATAAATGATAAAAATATCTTATATTTTTAAATATTTAAACAAAATTATGCATTTTTTTTATTATAAAAATTAATCAATTATTATTTTTTATTAAAATCACAATTAAAAAAGACAAAGAAAAACTATCAAAAAAGGTTAGTGAAATTGTCATACATTGGAAGAGAGATGGTAAAGAAAAGAAGAAAAGATGTTATAAAAAAAGAGGAAGGTGAATGAAATTTCTAACATTATCTTTTTGATGATGAAGTTTGAAGTTGATCTCTTTAGTTTTATAAAAACTAGGAGAACACCTTTAAGTTTTAAAATTTATAAGAGAAAGACCCTAAAATTTCATAAATGTCAATGAGTGAGCTTGGTTCGAGCTTGATTCGAGTTCGAGTTCAAGCTTGATTTGAGTTGTAGTCCACGCTTGTTTCGAGCTTGAGTTCGAGCTTGATTCAAGCTTAATTCGAGCTTGATTTGAGTTCGAGTTTGAGCTTGAGAAATAGCTATCGAGTTCGAGTCGAACTTTGATTTTTACTACTTGTGAGTTTTCGAGTCGAGTTCGAGCTTGTATATTGGGTTTCGAGTTCGAGTCGAGCTATGATTTTTACTACTTGTGAGCTTTCGAGTCGAGTTCGAGCTTGTATATTGGGTTTCGAGTTCAAGTCGAGTATAGCGATACTCGAGCTTGACTCACATCATTTACACCTCTTCTAAAGCAGATACATGTGGGCCCACAAATTATTTTAAAATTACTTTTGTACCTTTTTGGTCAAGAAAAGCATGGATCACCCCACATGGTCAAACCATTCCCCCCGGGGCCGATCCTTATGGTCGTTTTGGTAAATCTTGAAAAAATGGTTATTTTGTTAAAATATCAGGTATATTCTGATCATTTTCATGAAAATCCCTTATGAAAAAAATGGTTGAAATCTATCAAAGCCAATCAAATGGTAAAACTTATAGTTATGAAATATTTTTCTCAATCTATACAAAAGTATGAAAGATGTTTTTCAAATGTATAGTCATGGTTGAAATCAAAATCATTTCCGTCTAAACAATGAAAATCATAATAATAAAAAACCATGGTTGAAATCAAAGCCAACCAGATGACAAAACCAATTAGTAATTTTTATTTTTATTTTTATATCTTGGAGTAAAACTTACAAGGAATAAGGTGACATCCTAAGGAGTGAGTATTCTTCATTTCTTGAATTGTGGTTGAATTTTGTATATCCCACATTGAAGGAGATATGAAAGATTTACAATGAATGATGAGTATATAAAGAGAAGTTGAGATGTCTTTGTAACAACTCATGGGGTTGGCTCCTCTTGATCGATCCTCTAAACTCATGTTGTTGGCTCATTTTGTCTGACCTCAAAAGATGAATGAAATTTTCCGAGTAAGCCGTCAAATCATGAAATTGTAAGTAGATCTTTGCAAATCCACTTATTTAATCTTTTCAGATTAAGG